ACAGACTATTTTTTGCATAAAAAAATAACATTCTGAAAGTTTGATGAGATTTTAATCAAAATTAGGAGTACCTCCCATACAACATTTTCAATTTTTGGTTCAAAAAAGAATATTTTGTATGGGAGGTACTCGTTGAAATTTCTCCAAACTTTTCGAATGTTATTTTTTTGTGAAAAAAATAACCCGTACAAAGTTTCACGTGCTTACGATACCATACAGGTATGATTCCCATACAAAAATCCATTTTGTTTTACTTTTGTATGAAAAGTGTTTCAAAAATAATGTTTATGGCAAAATTAACGTCAGATATATTTTTTTATAGTGTTTTATAGAAAATAGAATTCTTTCAAATGTCGTACAAATGGGTTCATCATGAAGTGTGAAAAATCTTTTCCGAGTACTTCTGCTATTAAATAAAAGAATATTTCGATGCCGAACACATTTTTTGGCCTCAAACTTAACGCCGCTTGAAAGGCTTGAAAAATCGAACAAATATTATTTTGAACTTTCTTAATAGAATACGCATCTACCACCGTGCGGAAAAGTTCGTCTTACTCTTGTAAGACTCTTTATTAGTATACAGTTATCGTCCTCAAAGTACTTGTTTCGCAAAAAATATCCAATGTCGATGTCTTTGAGTTAATTCAAAGATACAATTAACACTTCTGTTCATAAATTGTGTTTGTCGTCATGTTCATTTTAATTTTTCATTTTAATGGTTTAAATCTTCAAATTCAGCGAAATCTCTATCAAATGACCCAATTAAGTTTCACAGAATTTCAAAAAAAAAAAAACTATTTCCTCTCGAATAGCGCTGCGCTTCTTTTGAAAAGTAATCACAATTTCCAACGATAAAATTCAAAGATAAATCCTCTTTTTTTAAGTTGAACAAACAACGCAAGAAAAAAGATATTTTACCAAAGAATAATATGAATGCGTTAAAAGTTTCACTCGCTTTATCTCGAGCATATATATAATCTCTCGATTAGAACTTGGTCTGCTTAGCTTAAGTGCAAAAAAAAATCATGAAGGTTCTTCAAGTGAAATCGATCTATCAAAATATCGATATTTAAATATCCTTCATTTGATATGTTCTAGAAATTGATAGCCCCAGTGATAGCCGGTGATAGGTAACATAAAAATGTGTCTAGTCGAGAGTGATATTCACTGAATAATGCCAAAATAATGTTTAATATCAGAAAAATTCATCGATAATTCAATAAATCATTTTCATATGAAAATGAACCACCCTCAAAATCAGCTTAACAACACATAATGTAGCATTGCGATTCGTTCGCCCCAAAATCGGGAAATTCTATTTGGGATTAATTCGAATTGTGCAAAGTTGAAACAACTTAGTCTGCTATTCCGGGAAAAAAAATGAAAGCAAAGCTTTCAGCCGCACCGTCGCCATGTCCATGTCATGGATGTTTGCGATTGTACATGTATTCCGAGTGGAAATGTTAACATTCTATATATGCTCTGGCTGCACAACTCTCTCTCTCTCTCTCTCTCTCTCTCTCTCGACTATGTACGAATTATTAGCAGAAACGAATACGAAGAGAGAATGCGTTTCAAGCATATTTTGAATTATCACGTTCTCGCCGTTAGTTTTAGTATAATGTAATTCGGCAGGTGTTCAATCGACTAGAAATAATAAATGCTTACGTGCATCGTCAACAACTTAAAGCGGTAAGAACAATGTGCAATTGATAGTAAAAAATGCGTTTGAATAATTTCCAATTTACATAACGCCAAAGCAACACCAAGAAAATGTACTACATGGAGTGCTCTCTTTTTTTTTATTATTCTTTTTTCTTCTTGGTTGAACTTTTTTAAAAGCATTGTTCAGTTACTTTTTACTCTACATAGCATTTACCTTGTATATGTAGTATTTATATTCATTTGTTTGAAGAAACCACGTTGCGGGCGATCTGAGCTCGAAAAAATAGAAGGAAAATGTTTTTTTTTTTCAATGATTTGTTTTGCACGCGTTTTCACCGAAAATTTTCAAATTAAATGGTGAACAAATGTTTCTCGGGTCATTTACAAAATCTTAGATTTAAATTCAGAACACCAACAGTATCATCACAGTCGCACACACAGTTCGCTGTTAAGCTAACGCAAAAGTTCGCCACATATCCAATATGATTTGGTATGACTAGTTCGGCTCTTTTATCATGCCTGTGTGCAGTATTGAGTGTACAAATAAGAAGTCACCGACCCACACTCAAAATGCAACCAAGAAATTGCATTTTTCTGTCAAAATATCATTTTATGTCCCATTAAATTGTTGGAAAAGTGCTACTTTTCGAGAAAAAGTTGGTTTGTACAATATTTTATTGAAAATAGTTGTACATGAATTGTAGGTAAGCAATGTCTGGCTGACCTATTGTTACTGAACCAACTAACAAAAATTCCCCAAGAGATATGCGCAATTTTTAAACGCCTCAGGGAATTTTTTCATACATAAAAATATAAATCAAATCAAACCAAAATTCATTTCGCCTAATAGAATTTGATGACATTTTAATGGCCATAAAATTATGAGCCATCAATTTTAACCATCAATTTAATTACTAATTATATATTATGAAAATATTTAAATCAAAATTCAAGCTTTTGTTTGATTTATTCAAAAATCATATTACTAAAACAAATTTAATCCAATAAAAACTTAAAATTACTTTGAAAATGCCGCTTGGTAGTTCATATTTCTATTTGTGCATTGTGAAAAAAAATGTTAACAGTTTAAACTGAACGCCAACACAAAGACTTTGATAGGAATTCAAATGGCCAACATCTCTCATTCAATTTCGCATTTTAAATGTTGAAATTTCGTTGCTCCAGAAGCTTGTAAATATTATACATTTTATGCATTTTTATTAGAATGCTGAAAGCTTAAAAGACATTCTGACTTGTGACCATAAATAACTTTCCGTTGAGCTAATTTTTGCTTTATATCACCCGTTTGCCTTTTTCAGATTCTTTTCTCTCTCCCTTTCTCTCGATCTCCATAGTTCACAACTGGCAACTTGTCATCTGCAAACAGAAAAGTTTACTTACACAAAGTACATAATAATCGTTCACGTTGTTCATTCTTCCTTTTTTATCAACATAACAATATGTGAACATCAGTAATACATTCAAATGTGCAATGCACATTGTGCAGTATATTCTCCATTTACATTTACTCTTCGTATGATGCTTCTTCTCGGCTACATCTTTATTTCCCTTGTTAGCGGGTGATGTTTGTAGTGTTCTGGTGCTCAACGTTGCATAAGTTATAACTCTATGTATTTGTATATACACATAATCATAAGTTGAGTGTTTCTTATACATGTTTCCTAATACTCTTTTTTTTCTCGCTGTTTTTCTTTTTTCAACGTGATAAAATTCCTTTTCTCGAGATGTTAACAATCGCAGTTTCATACATTTCGTTATCATTCCGTTACCATGATTCCACTTACTTTTTTCGACTTTTTTCTGTCACCAATTTGAAATTTACATGATCTTTGCATTGAATATGAGATGCGAGCGACTTGAAAACGCTATTATGGAATTGGGAAGAAAACTTCTATGTAGCCCATGATATATATGAAGATCCGAAATTTTATCAAGTGTTTGAGAGTTCATTTTAACAACATCATTGGCTCAATCCACACTTTGGATACCTTAATTTATTTGCGCCACATTTACTTGCATAAAGTTATTCGAGTTTTTGGGACACAGATTTTATCTGTTGTAACATGATGAGTGTCAACGTATGATTTAATAACAATAAAACAAGGGAAGAATCAGTAACACGGGATTTTTACATTTTGAATATTTTTTTCAAGTATCTTCATGCTAAAGAGTAGAACTCTCAATAGATTAATCCAATCAACGGTTAATTGCCTCTTGTTTTTCTTTGTTAATGGTTTTTCATCGGCTTTCTAAATCCATTTTGGATGCTCGACTTTCGTTTATACTAATTTGATGTCTTCGTTATACAATGATCAATCTAAAACATTTCCTAAGGATGTTTCTGAATTATTATCTGGTCTGCAGTTCCTAATGAGTTTGATCGTGGGCAGGCATAGATTTTTCAAAAGAGCCATTTTTCGTAGTTATGATTTGAAATTCAATTTTCCAAGTATTATTTCTCTAACTCCTTGTACGCCTAGTCAAGATCTAAGGTACTGTCTGTACTTGTCGGCATTTTATCGACAGTTTCATTCATGTTTCAATACTTGTCGTTATTTCTGGTTTATTGAAGTTGACAGGCCAAGGGAGGATTAATAATTTATTTTAAATTAACCGAAAAAATTAAGGAAAATCGAAGACTCAAAAAGGTCTTCATTCTTCAGTTTGAACATTTTGTAATCGGATGGGTGATTTCAAATCCTTTCTCTAAAGTCTCCTCTTATCAAAAGCGAAAAATGAAGTATTTTTTTAAAAGAAATGTTCAATTATTTTCTACTTCATTCTTCAGGCACTGCTGATTGTTCGTATAAAATGAAGTTTTTATACATATAAGTGTAATCATTTGATAAAGTATGTTTTTTAGTAACTTCCTTGTAAATCTTGAACATGGCTTTAAAATTTAAGCTCAATTTTAATTATCTGAATTTTTGTATAAAAGTCCCTTTGTTAAAGGTATCCAGTTCTTGTGTGAATGCAGTGTGCACATAAATATTGATAGCTCCGTTGAATGTGAATTTAAAGCGAGCACCTCACTTCAACTTGAATTTGTACGGTGTTAATTAATTTTTCCACTGATTCCATTAAATAAATGAAAGCTATAAAGGAATAAAATTGTATGGGATGTGTCGCCAAAAAGTGGATCTCCTATTAAATACACAAACAGTGAAAGAAACATTGCGCATAGAGTTGAAAAAAAAATAATCAATTAAGAGATAACTTTAAATGAAATTTATTTCTTTCTTTCTTTCGCCTTTCTTCCACCTTTCATTTAAAGCATTGAAGAATTAATTTGAGTGTTTTTTGTGTGTTTCCAGGAAAGACGAAGAGAAAAAAAGCAACACGTCAAGCAGCAGTGCACAATTTAAACGCAGCCACTCTACGACATTGTAGTAAATTACACGTTTCGATAAACTCTACACGTCCTGAATGCTTTCGCGTTACGTATTTTATCAATTAAAAGAAGAAACTTTTCGTTCCGTATTTTATTCAAAATACATTGGAAACGAGAATGTAAAGTGGTGCAATCCTTGCATAAACTTATAATGAATTGAAAAGAGCCCCCCAGCTTTATTGTGCAGACAGAGACAAAAAATAGATACAAAACACATACGATTGAAAAATTATGCTTAAAAGTATTAAAAAAAAAAAAAACAACAACAGAGAAACAAAAGCCGAGGTAAAAAAGAAGAAGTGTATATATGAATACAAGTGAAAAACATTAACAATCACGATAAAAACTCTCAATGGCACCAACAACCAAATATGTATAGAAGAACCATAATTTAAAACATAATTCATACAAATAAATGAAGAATAGTAATTGAAAAAGTATATGCATACATGTAATTTGATATCGTTACATCAATGGATATTACAAAACCACAAATTCTCCATTAGATTTGCGACACCTTTTTTCCTGCTTTCCAAAAACTTTACATATTTACACAAACAACGGCAAAAACAGCTAAATGAATATCCAATGAAAAATGTAGCCCGAAATTCAAATATTTTGTTGCACAGAAAACCCAAAAAAAAACTGAACAATAAACATATATTGAAGGAAGTTTAATGTAATTAAGAACAGATATAGAACAACATCGGAAAATAACTTTCGTAAATGGTGTCAAAAAAATTTGTTTGACAAAAAAAAACAGTGAACACGACTTTGAAACATTGAGTGGGATGCGATTACAATTGGTCTATTGCGCATTTTGATTATATTAATTACATTTGGATTAGAGTGAATTAAATAAACTGTGACCGAAACAGAAAGGGTTACGATAATTACGATCGTCATAGTCTCATGCTGTGGCATTTAATTATCAAAAACTCTGAAAGAACTCTGCATTTTCCAACAGTGTATGAAAGACAGTGAGATAAATTAAATCGAGTCTTTTTTTTGTTGAAGGAGCAGCGTGTTCTTGGGTATCAACCATGATAGCACATATCAAGTCCATTGAAAAAAGTGAAATTTGAATTCAGACATACGATCCGCTTGCATATGTGGAATAAAAATACTTAAAATAATCAAAAGTTTTTGGAGTGTAAAAATCTTTTGTCGCACTATGTAAAAGCGTACGCTATTCTCTTTTTGTGTAAAATGTTTTATTTAAAATAGAAATAAAAGTGCTAATGTGCATCTGAATTTGAATTTCAGATACAAAACTCTTCAGTTCAACTTGAAGAAGAAGAAAAAAACTAATAGCAAACTTCTAAATCCAGACAGGGCAACTTGCTGTACTTGTAAAAATCATTAGATTTGAAGATAAGATAGAAGGAAAACTATCCCAAATATTTTATGTGACTTGATTCCATTTGAATTGTAGAAATTCGTACGTGAGATTAGATAAATTTATGTTTTCCATAACGGTGGCAAAGTTTAGCTAGCTTTAAACATGTGGACCCTGAAGGCAATGGCAAAGGATTTACGGTCTGTAATTGCTATACTAAGTTTGCTGATAATTTATACAGGTATGTTATTTTTCTTTTTTTTTCATCCACATTTATGCATCTTTTTGTAGTGTTAATTTATAACTCTTGAACATTACACACATATTTATATATATATATGTGTGTGTGTGTGTGCATGTATGAGGAACTTCAAATTAGTTTTGTGATTCGGTTGCTATGCCGAAGAAGAATAATATTGACAATACTATTTATATGGATGAGTTAACCAAAATGTCTTGGATAAATAACAAATAGTATTCAAGCACTTTTAAGATGGAAACTTATCAAAACTGACATCACGTATGAATTTTAACCCATTGCAGCAATCGGGATTTTTCAAAACTAATTTTTAACATCGATGTCACCACATCTGATCACATAAATTACCTAGAGAACTAGGAACTGATTTTTTCTTTAAGACGAAGAACGGTGTTGTATTGTTCTTAGATAACAAAGCTCTCAAATGGACGGACGAAAATGAGCATTTTCATGTTTTTTTGGTGTGGGACGGGCGGGCATTGTTCAAAATGTCGGAATTTAAAAATAGGACGTATCTTTACAATTGGAGCCCCTCGTCACTGGCGAGTTGTCAAAAGCGATGATTTTGAATGCATTTCTCGACTATATTGCATTGCTCAAATTGTAGTTTCATATCAATTGCAACTTTTAAAAATGTTATGGTATGAATTTTTGTTAAGGATAAATAAAACACCCATATTGGGCTAATGGTAAGAAAAATGAAATCCATGGTGAACCCGAGTGGAAAAAAAGTGACTAAGTTACTATTGACTGTAAGTGACTATAGTTAGCTATATTCATGAATTTTAAAATTTTGTATGGAAAACAATCGACTATAGTTACTCAGTCAGTCAGGCGATTATTTTGGGACGTTTCGACTATCGGGTGACTATGATTATTGTCAACTATAGTTACCTGTTGCAGTTAACCATAGCTTACTTTAATTGATTGAAGTTAACTAAATTTAACTAAGGTTGCTTGTTTTTACAGTCAATAGTCAGTCAGTTTGTCCCAAAATAGTCAGTCACTTTTTTTGTACACGGGAAAGTATCAACAAAAGAAGCGATTCCCAACTGTAAATTATAATGAATTTTGAAAATGGAATGAAAATAAATAATGTACAGAAATCAAAAGGCAAACACATAGATGTTTAAAATGCACTTGAATGCTCACGTCTCACATTAGAAATGTCACCGTCTATGTTTATTATGCGAAAAATACCGTATAATCTGCTCAAACATTACATTTGAATTTGATGCATAAACAATCAGCAACATTTTTCCGCTCCATGCACAAAGCATACACAGGAAAGTGCTATTAAATATTAAGGTGAGCGAAAAACGTCACCAAATAGAGAGCATCGCCAAGATATATATATTTTTGCTATTTTTTTTAACAGGCAAAGACCAAGGAGACTAAGGGTGCCGGGGATGTTTGCGAATGAAATTTATTTATTTACATTTTCTTGCAAATTCATTCGTTATTTACAACATGGTCACCGAATTTATTCGCGTTTTTATCATTTTCTTTTTATGTTCTCAAATATTTACCAATTGAGTGATGTAAAAAAATATTTCTCAAAAATGTCGATATGTAATTCCAAATTATTTATTTATTTATTTATAGACGCAAACACATTTCACATTTTTATCGAAACGTTGATTTGTTAATGAATATCAAGAAAAAAAAAAAACGCTCTGTTTATTTTAGCGATGGGGGCGCAAAAACAGTTTGCCGAAAAAATATTGAGTTAACAAAGCGGTAAGAAAACACGCCAAAGTTTATAAATGGAAGCAATAAGAGATGAAAATTAAAATGTCGTATGTTACAAAATGTTGAGCAGACGGAGAGAAAAATCAAGTAAAAATAGACTGTAACAATAAATCCGTTGATAAATAAATACATACAATTCAACGGGAGTTTTATTTTGAATGCTTTTTGCAGAGAGACAAAATACAACGGAAGAAGAACAAATTTTGATACACAACAAAAGAGAATATAATAATATGAAAAAAAACTTCTGGAATGGAATTTCTTATGAAAAAAAGCAGCGATAATATAAAATATATGTAAAATAAAGGGAGAAGATGAGTGAACAACACATATCCACATTGTCTTCATTGCAAAACAAAATGCTACATTTTCTAGCATGGCTCAATGCTTTATCGTCATAAAAAATATGATTTAGCATATTTTCGATATGAATTTCGCATGCATTTTTCTCGAACCTATGGACATTTGACTCCCTCTAGAAAATCAATCTTGTTTCTCGTTGATAAAGATAGAGTCAAAAATGTACAATGTATCTCGTGCAACAGCGTATCCCATCTCATTTTTGAAGAAGAATTTTGTCGTCCATTTATTGTCGTTGTTACTGTTGATCTGAGCAGCGCTAGCGGAACAAAAAGTCTACATATTGGCGAAATCAATTTTTGTTGGATATTTGGATAAAATGCTCTGAAAATAATGCCACAAATGCTCTACAGCTTTTTCCACTTTTGTGTTGTTGTTTTTTTTTTCTAAAATTTATTCATATGCTTCAAGTACACTGTATCGTTCCGTCACACACACTATACAGTTGCCATATCTAGTAGCTCGTACTTCATTTCCTTCCTGAGCTATCGCACTTTACTGTTTGTGATGTGAAACTCAATATAACCTTGTATTACCCCCAATGTGTTTTTGTCTCATGTCCTCATTTTTCCCATTTTGTCACTTTACTAAACGATGCGTTGCGATATTATGTTGTATCTTATTATTATTTTTATTTACCAGTTTCTGTTTTTCTTCTTTTTGTTTTATCCTAATGCCAGTGAGTTGCCATCATTTTTGTTGCTCTCGGAAGATGACATTGCGTTATATCGGAGAATAAAGTAAAAAATAATATAAACACACGCGATTGTCGCCCACATTACATCACATTTTTAGCGCTATATTTTTCGCTCTCACTTGACTATTTATTGAAATTAAATTTTCGGAAGCACCGACGAAAGGATGATAGACACAAGCATTTTGTTATATTACCGTTATATTGACTGAAACAAGTTACAAATTGATGGACTTGCACATGTTTAGTTTGAACAACAAAAAAGAATCCTATAGCTTTCACCCATGTGTATAGGAAATTGCCAGCCAATGTTCGTACGCTCATTTTTGACGAAAATGTTTGCGCTCTTATTTACGTGTTTTGTGGAGTGAAATTGGGACTCTTTTCTTCAATTCTTGTTTCAACTACTTTATAGTCTTTTGTAGAGAAGAAATTCCGTTCAGATTTAAAATCTATGTGCATCGTTTATAATTAAATTTTTGTGCGAATTCCATTCGAAAACTTCAATTTTCTATTGAAACATGCGGTTAATTAAAATGAAGTTTGTACTTTTAGTTTAATCTTACTTTTGTTCGAGATGCTCTCGTAACCGTGAAGCGAATCGACTAAAATGTGTAGCAAATTGGAGATATCTTGAAGAACATTTCGAAGCAATGTTTCGTTAACCTTTAATTTCATTCCGATTTTTTTTACAATAATTGTTATAATTTATGTATACTTATCGCCAAAATCCAAGCAAACAGATTCAACCAATACTTATCTACATAATTCATTTTAAAACTTCTGTCAATGGTTGCATCTATCTCTAAATTTCATCAAACATTTGTGTGTGCACCATTGAAAATTCGTCAATTTAGCGAAAGCATTCAGTTACGATAAGCCAAAAAATAAACTGTTAATACCACATGCTTGGATTGCTATTTTTGGATCGAAAAATGTGTACAGAATTTGCCGAAGGTGAAAAATTGAATGTTCACTTCAGTTTAGTGTCTTTGGTGGTATTGCACAATGAGCTTATAGGTATTTGTTAAACTTTGCTTAGTTCATGTCCATATATAACGTCTATTAATGCCTTTATAGGCTCTCACTATGCATACATGTACGCAAATACTTATGTATTACAGTTTTCGTTTCATTCTCTAAAAACCCAATTTAAGTTTATTTTTGTTTCAAAATACAATGGTAAGTGAATACACTACCATTATATAAATATGGATATATATTACAATCACTATACACTCACTGACACACACACTCACACACCAACATCTATTTTCCATTCGAATGATATTAGATTTTCACATTGGGAATATACTTTCCGGTACTTTCCTTTGCTTCGATTTTTCTTGGCTGAGTAACCAAATCAAAAAGCTTAACGCTCACGGCTAAACTAGTTTATTTTTCTCTCGGATTGAGAGATTTAAATCGAAAAGCTTTATGCAGATACATATAAGCATTTCTATTTCGGCACTGGTACATGAATGAGTCATTTTTGAAGAAGGATATCTATTATAGCAGCACCGTGTGCAGAGAAGTTCAAGACCGGATTTACATGCTACAAGAAATCAAATTGAAATAAATTTTTCGTGTTTTCGCTTCATGTGTTTCTCGACAACAAATCGAACATAAGTCCCGCATGTTCAATTTTCATTATTATATACAGTTTAGGTACATAGTGTTTTTGAGACTTTTCTTTTAGAATTTGCATTGCATTTCGATTTCAGAACAATTTGTGGCTAAACTAACTTCTTTTGCTCCAAAACGTTCTAGTATTCGGTTAAATCATTAGTTTAGTTTTTTTCTTCTGTTATCATTGCCTCAATTTTCTTATTTTTAAAATTAAACCCAATGTAAACCCTTCTAAAAATATATTGGCTGTAATTTATGGGTTATTTCGATACTTATCACGCTTCTCGTGTGTTCAGTCAGTAGCTATCGAGCAAAAAGAAGTAAATTAATGAAATCATTACCTGCTGTAAGAGGTAAGGGTGAAAGTTTAGTCTTTTGTCTTCTGAATAACTGATTCTTCAAGGGCCCTCACATTTGGTGGTAAATTAAAGGGGAAAAATCCAGCATATGAAGAGAGAGAAAGAGGTCGTTTTCCTGTCGTGCATGCGTCATGTTTCAACTTATAATTTAATATTTGCCATTTATACTCATAAGTTTTCCATGCAAA